TGAACCTGAAAAATTTGTTGCTGAACCTGAAAAAAATTTGCGCTGAACCCAAAAAAATTTCTACTGAGCCTGAAGTTTCATGCTGAAATTGAAAAAAATTCAGGGCAAAATTGAAAAATTTCACGCTGAAATTGAAAAAAATTTGTACTGAACCTGAAAAATTTTGCCCTGAAATTGAAAAATTTCACATTAAAAAAACCACGTGAATTCACTCAAATCCTCCAATGCTGATTGTTTTCCTCCTTCTCCCTTTTCTGGGGGGAGCCGTAGGGCTTAAATTTTAAGAATTGAGGTGCTGAAAGCCGAGTTTTTACCTCTCTTTGGTTTTTTGACCTGGCTTGAAGGAGAGGCAGAATTTTGGTGTTAAAAGAAGGTTTTGGGTGTCTCACAGTGGGTTAAGGTGAGTTTTGGGTGAGTTCAGCCCAGTTTTGGGTGTCTCAAGTGGGTTAAGCTCAGTTTTGCGTGAGTTCAGCCCAGTTTTGGGTGTCTCACAGTGAGTTAAGCTCAGCCTTGACCAGCCGTGAGTTGAGCTCAGCTTTCCCCATCCCACTTGAAGTACGATAACCCGCTCCTTTCCAGGATGGAAAGCCCAAATCTGAAAAACTGATCAGGTTGAAGAGTTTAGACCCGAGTGCCGGCTCTGCTCCATAAGAAAATGTGATTAAATTAGAAAATTGTAGCATTTGATGCCGTTTTTAATTCCTGTCGAGTAGCAAGAAGGAGGCGGTGGCAGTGAAGAGCAAGGCGCCCCCAGCCTACGAATCGGAGGAGGAGGAGCGCTGCAAGCCCATGTCCTACGAGGAGAAACGCCAGCTCAGCCTCGACATCAACAAACTGCCTGGGGAGAAGCTGGGCCGCGTGGTCCATATCATCCAATCGCGTGAGCCCTCCCTCAAGAACTCCAACCCTGACGAGATCGAAATCGACTTCGAGACCTTGAAACCCTCCACGCTGCGGGAGCTGGAGCGATACGTCACTTCCTGCCTGCGCAAGAAGAGGAAACCCCCAGGTGCATTTTGAAAATTTGAATTTCATTGTGACATTGTTTTAAAAATCTACTTTGAATTTTACTTGATAAATTTCATTTTTAAATTTTTAAATTTTACAAGTTTAATATTTTTACTCTTTCAATTATTTAATATTTTCTCAATCTGATTAACTTTTTAAATGTTAATCTCAAATTCTAATTTTTAAGGTTTCTTAATTTTTAAACTTTAATTTTTTAACTTTCTTAATTTTTAATGTTCAAGTTTTTATTTACTTTTTAATGCTAATTTTTTTAATGCTCATTTAGAAATTGTAGGCTTTAAATTTTATTGGATCTTCTTAATGGTTTACTTGTAAAATTTTATCTTATTTCTCAATTTAACTTTTAATGTTACATTTTTTAAATGTCCAAATTTAAGACTTTCATATAGTTCTGAAATTTTAAATTTTTATTAGTTGTTAAATATTATTTCCGTTTTTACATTCTATTTAATTTGAAGTGTTAAATGTTAATTTTTAATTTTAAAATTTTAAAAAAATGTTATTAGGTGTTTTTAATGTTTTGATTTTAAATTTTTATTTAGTTTTAAAATTCCTTTGGATTGTTAATCTTTAATTTTTTAATTTTTACTGAATTTACTACTTCACTGTTGAATTTTTAAGACTTTAAATCCCATTAATATCACGATGAAGTAATTCAGTCTGCCCCAAGAAATTTCTCTGAAACCTTTAATGAAGAAATTTCTCTGAGACCGTTAAAGAGTGCCCTGAGAGTGCAGAGCTCATTTGGGGCAGGGAGCAGAGTTCCTCCCCTGCAACCTGTTTTTTAATTGGTATTTTGATACACTTTATTCCACCTCAATGTATTTTCAATTTAAATATTCTTTATACCTGTTATTTTCCGTCCACTTTAGAGCCTTTTGTTGTATCCATAAATTCCATTTAAATATCTCTTTATACCTGTTTTTTATGTATTTTATAGTTATTATATCTAAAAATTCTGGTTTTGTATTTTTTTAAACCCATTTTTATTTCTAATACCTGTTAAGCTGTATTTCTATAGCAAATCTAAATATTTGCTAATGACCAAAGTTCAAATAAGTACTTTTGAACATAAATCACCCCCAGCAAGGGGAGAAATGGAGGATTTAATGGGAATTTCTCATGGCCAGGATAAATCCAAGTGGAAAATAAACCTGAGCAAAACATTTCTATTTTATTTTTAAATTTAAGGATTTAATTCAGTTTAAGAATTTAAAGAGCTCCGGTGTCACCAGTGTGTTAAACCAGTCCTAGGCTGCAGAAGCCTGTTCTTATTCTCACTTAATTCGTTTTAAAAAATGACAATTTTTTGCTTTCCCACTGCTGCTGCCTCCTTAGACCGAGAAATTGAGGGGGGGGGGAAAAGTTAAAAATCTAAAGTTCTTAAGCATTAAGAACTAAATTGATCCTTAATGCTTAAGAAATTAATTTTTTTAACATTTTTTAATTAAGAAATTTTTTTATTAAGAATTTTTAATATTTTTGAAATTAATAATTTTAGATTTAAAACTTCTAACCTTACAAGCCCCCCAGTGTTAGGCCAGCCTAAAGGGGCCGGGTAAAGCCAGAGCATAGGAGGGTGAGGAGTGGGTGCTCCCAGACTTAGGAGGGGCAGGGGGGGCTGTTAATTACTAATTAACCCTTAACGACATCTCTTTGCAGCGGAGAAGGTGGACGTGGTGGCGGGCTCCTCGAAGATGAAGGGTTTCTCCTCCTCGGAGTCGGAGAGCAGCAGCGAGTCCAGCTCCTCCGACAGCGAGGATTCAGACTCAGGTTAGACGCGGCTTATTTAGTCCTAGGCCTCGTTTCTGTATAAATAAATTTGGTTTTTATTCCTGTCTTGGTCTTTTTAATTCTGATTTTTTCTTATTTTTCATCTGGAGCGGGAAAAAACGTCGCTTGGGTTTTGGGTTCTTAAGCCCAGCTTTTTCTTCAGCTTTTTCTTGGTGAATTTGAGCCAAAAACCCTACGTGCACCAGGGTAGCTCTTTGGTTAATGACCGAAATTTGTCATTTTAGACAAAAATGTTGGATTTTTCCCTCAAAGGAGAGGTGTAAAATGTTGTTGCCAGCACCGTTTGCACCATAGAGGATGGAGAAAGATGGAAATTTTAGGTGTAAAAGCTTTTTTATGGGCAGATATTGAGAAAATTTAAACTTAAATTTTACATTTTAAATTAAATTTGACTCACCAGCACTATTCGCTTCACAGAGGATCGAGAAAGACAGGAGTTCTAGGTGTAAAAGCTTTTCTGTTTTTATGGGTAGATACTGAGAAAAAAGGATTTATAATTAAATTTTACATTTGAAAAGACAGAGGTTTTAGGGGTAAAAGCCTTTTTCATTTTTATGGGCAGATACTGAGAAAATTAAGATTTAAAATAAAATTTTACATTTTCAATTAAAATTTACTC